TCCCTTAAACTTAGTTGTTTTTTTGGTTTTTGGATATCTGAATTAACGCTCCCCGTATAATGGAAGAGCGTATTTTCTACTGGCCATTTGGGCCAACTTTGGGCTCAAGATTCGTGCCACTACTGCTAATTTTAGGATAAGATGGTTATTTAAATATGTCAACCGAATGAAAATAACATCCATCGGGTATTCAGCGCATACTTTCTCTCTCTGTTAGTCTTCCGTTATTTTCTTTCTTCCAACAAATTTTCTTCGACTGTTTTTATTCCGTCTACGATTTCCTCGCAATTGTCAGAAGTCAACAATAAGTTGACGCTTGATACTTTCCTCTTCGCAAAATTTTAAGAAGTTTTGGGATAAGAACTGGCCAACTCAGTTGGTGCGTAAGGTTTTCAGCTTGTGATAAGATACATTTTCAATGAGTTTTTTGAACTTCTTGAAAGCACATAATGTCTATCCTTTTTCTTTGAGCATGTACACCCATATCCAACGGCTATAATGGTCAACAAATAAAAGAAAATACTTGTTACCCCCAATCAATGATCGGGTGTTGGGCCACACAAATTTGCATGGACCAGTTATAGTGGTCGTTTAGCACGAAAATAGGTTTGAGCTGGAAACGACAGTCTTGCTTATTTTGAAACTATACAAATTTCATATAGCTGTTCGAGTGTATTATTTTGAGCGTCTAAAAGTTCATGTGCCCAAGACTTGCATTCATAACCAAGTTGGGTCTGCGATGTCATCAATAGGGAGGTGGGACTTGTTTGTCTCCAATAGTATCTTGTACCGGCGGTTATGTGACCGTTTTACCTTTATCAACAAGGTTTCATATATGTTGAACATCTTGAGAAACGAGTCAGCTAACTCAACTCTACTTCCTTCTTTTATCATCTGACCAAGACTGATAATATTACTCTTCAAGCTTGGGATATAATATATCTTAGTTAGTAGACATTGGTCGCCCTTCTTGCACTAGAAGAAGATGGATCTTTTTCCTTGGATCGGTATAATTGATCCATCACCAACCTTCACGTTTCCAATGAGATTCTCATCAAGCTCCTTTAAATTTGCTCAGTCTCTGGTCATGTGGTTGCTTGCTTCATTGTCAAGGTACCACATGCTAGTCCCAAATCGATTTTCTTCTTCTATTCGTTGAGCATCGATATGTTGGGTGTCTTCTCGGCCAACAAAAGTGTGAGATTTGCCAACTCATCGCTCTTCTTCTTATGGCACTCTACGTCTTAGTGCCCATATTTTTTATACGAGTAACACTTTTCAATTCTCTTCATTGTTGTGAAAAAAGATACATCTAATGAGTATTTATAGGGGAGAAAGTACTAACTAGTTTTCTAAACTTTCTCCTCAAGTTAAACCACTAACAATCTTTCTAATTAAAGTACTAAACTTCAGCCACTAAATTTACTAACAATTCTCCTAAATTTAAGTTAAGTAAATAAATTATTCTGCCAAGTCAAGTTTACTTGCTCAGAAGGTGTACTTTGAGCAAGGCTTACAACCAGCTTTAACATGCTGAACTTGTTGTACTAAAAAGATGATAACAAGTTGCACGTCCGTCACATTAAACAGTAGTCGTGTGAATGGCAAAGATCACTAAAATCCACAGGAGCAAAATTGACCGCCAATACTTTATAAACCTCCACTTCATTGGGAGTAATAGAATGACAAGACTTTTATTCCTTTCTATTGAAGCCGGGATGGGTTGAACTCATCTCCAACCTCATTAGCAGAGGCCATCTATTCTGTAATCTCTAAAGTCCACTAAAAACAGCCACCGTACGTATAGTTTTGTCTTGCATGCCACCATATATGGGGTACCTGCAGCAATCTTGTGTAAATTCTAAAGTGAACTTAGAGAAATTCATTAACTTCAGAATATGCATGGATGTGATATAAGCATTTATTTCCATTTAATTAAAAGAGAGTAATTCATTATTTCTAAAATTTACTTTCAAATTCTCATTCATATTCATCGTAGCTGATGACAAAGAACTGACATTAAGTGAACTTATAACATCATAGAATTGGTTTTGGCCATTTAATGTTGAAAAGTCGTTGATCTTAGGAGAAAAGCAATAGAGGGGTAGGAAAGAAGACCTGACTTTAGACATGGGAGGCCCCTGGAAAGAATCTTCTAAAGCCTTTACTGGTGTCGTTGGAAAAGGAGGAACCCTTCCGACATAAAGGTTAAGAGAACCTATTCCTCTATTAAACTAAATAGATGGTAGATCCCTGGGAAAACACCATACATGTAATGTTTACTCCATACATCAGAAATTATTCATGACAAGAAATATGAAGTATTCCTAAATTTTTTTATTGGTGGCTTGGCCGTTCCTCAATGCAATACATTTCCAACGACTATTTACGGGCATTGGCATATATAGGTAAGAGGGGAAAATCCTCAAATTAAGAAAATATACTGCTGTAAATATACTACCGTTTAAGATGCCAAGAATTTCAGCATGCGGCTTATTTATACCTTATTCCATTGTTGTATATAATAAAACTATATATGAAAAATGGTCATATATAATAAATAACTATTTATAGTAAAAAGGTGAGTAGAGCTATATATATATATATATATGTGGTAGATAGTTATACACCGTAGATGATTATTTCTGATAAACCTATATATATTAAAATGAACCATATATATACTCCTTAAGCAGGGTTTCGAAAATGTACTTTTTGATTTACATGCAGTTTATCTTTTAAATCGTTTACTCACAAAGACGCTGAACACTTTTATCATTGACTGAGCGAATATGAGGAAAATCGTTGACGGAGGAAAAAAAAGCCGAAAGAAAATGTTGGAAGAAGAAAATAACGAAAAAAACAAAGAGAGAGACAGTATTTTGGATTATGCGCTAAAGACCCGATTATTTTATTCTCATCCAATTGACATATTTAAATAACCCTTCAATCTTAAAAATGGAAAGGAGTGGCGACTCAATTAAAGCTCTTCTCCTCGAAGTGGATATTCACTCACTTTAATTGCGTGGCTTTAACAGTAAAATAGGAATTCTTAACTTAAAAATAGAGATTTATCTAACAGACACTCGCAACCCCTACAAAGCATGGTTCTGTAAGACACCTCACTTCGAGTACCTAAGAGTCTTCGATTGTATAGCACATGTTAAAACTGCAAAGTCATATATCAAAAAGCTTGATGACAGAAGGCGAAAGATGCACTTTGGCGTAGAGGAGGTAACCAAGACACTGAAAGATAATAATAGAAGAGAAGGAGCAAAAGACACACAAATTAATTTATCTTCTTTAACTAACTTGACACCATTTTCCTTATATAATAAAAAAAATAACACATTTCTTGTTACAAATCAGCTACCACTCCTTCTACTAATTCCACTTCCTAAAGATTCCACTAATTCCACTTTCTAAAGATTAGTTCCACTCTTCCACTACTTTCACTCTGGTGTCACCACCAAGATATCCCCAGCATTTTTTATATGGAGAAATAAACAACAAAATAAAACAAATACTAACGCCAATTTTTAACCAAGCAAAATAAATAAATAAAAAACAAGTTTGTAACCTACAATCACTCCTCTAAACTTGTTTAACTATGGTGAATCGGCTTTCTTCAAGCCAATCTACTCTCTTAACTCCAAGAACCGTTGTGTTGCTAACGGCTTTGTCAGAATATCCGCCAACTGTTCATCTGTGTTCACATATTCCAGTTCAATAGCTTCAGTTTGCACACATTGACGAATAAAATGGAACCTGGTCATCAATTTGCGTACTTCGATCATGGTAAACAGGATTTTTCGCCAATGCTATAGCTGACTTGTTGTCAACATTAAGCTTGGGTTTTACTTGCAATTGACTGATGTTACTCAAAATCTTGTCCAACCATACTCCTTGACACATTCCAGCAGTTGCGGCTATATACTCAGCCTCGCATGACGACAAAGCCACCACCTTCTGCTTCTGTGATACCCAGGTTATTGGATTTACTCCCAAATAGTACAACACTCCAATTGTACTCTTCCTATCATCAATATCCCCAGCCATATCACTGTTGCTAAATCCTACCAACTCCACATTTGACAACTTCTTATAAACACAATCAAAACTTAGAGTACCTTTCACATACCTCAATATTTATTTTACTGCTGCGAGATGTGAAGTTGCTGGTGCCTCCATGTATCTACTCATCACACCAAATGAGTAGGCTATGTCGGGCTGGGTATTAACCAGATAGCGTAAGCTTCCAATAACACTTTTATGAAATATTTTGTCAACCGTAGGTTCTCCATTCCCATGTTTGCTCTTCATTCTTGGTTCCATGGGAATCGAACAAGGATTGCACTCCCCCATTCCTAGCTTCTCTATGATTTTTCTTGCATATCCAGTCTGACATAAAGTGATTGATTCACTGCTTTGTCATACCTCAATACCCAAGTAATAGCTCAAAAGTCCAAGATCGCTTATCTGAAATTTCTGGTGCATCTCTTCCTTAAACTGAGCTATAACTTGTTTGTTTGAGCCAGCTATGATTAAGTCATCCACATATGTGCCGATTATCATTGCTTCAACTCCATTAATTTTCTTGTAGAGAGCATATTCTTGTGGACATCTAACAAAACCAAGTGACTGCAAACATTTATCAAGTTTAAAATTCCAGGCCCTCGGAGCCTGTTTTAATCCATACAAGGCTTTACGTAGTTTTATTACCATGTTTGGATTTTCCTTGTCAACGAACTCTTCTGGTTGAACAACATATACCTCTTCTTCTAACTCGCCATTCAGAAAAGTTGTCTTCACATCCATGTGATGTACTTACCAGTTCTTAATGGCTGCATAGACAATAATTAATCTTACTATTTCTAACCTGGCCACTGGTGCGAATACTCACTGTAATCTGCACCAAACTGTTGTGCATATTCCTTTGCCACGAGTCTCAACTTATGTTTCATGATTTCTCCATCTGGATTTTTCTTTAATTTGAAAATTCATTTGATGTCAATTGCTTTATGATTCTTCGGCAAATCTGTGAGTTCCCACGTTCTGTTCTTTTCAATGGAGAGAATTTCAGACTTCATGGCATTCCTCCCGTTTTCATTCTTAGCAGCTTCCTCATATGAGGTTGGCTCCTCTATAGAAAGAAAACAAAGGTTCATTGCTTCCTCCTCTGCTTCGTTCAGTTCTCTATAAATATCTTCTAGAGACTTGAACTTTTTCGGCGTCGACAAGCTTGATGATGATGCATTTGAGGTACTATTCGGCATTGATAAAGTTGAGGACGAATTTTTCCTTTGCCTTTCATCTGAATCAACTTCGATTTGTTCAATATTCCTCTCCTCTGTTCTACTTTGTTTTTAAGAAATTTGAACGATGAAAGTTCCTCTTTGTTCATCATCACCGTTTGTGATTTCTTCCCAACACCACTTTTTCTCCTCTTTGAACAACACATCCTTGCTCACCATAATTTTGTTCTTTTGTGGATTCAATATTCGGTAAGCTTTGGTTCCATCTTCATATCCTAACATAATTGTCTCACACTCCTATCAACAAGTTTGGGAAGGTGTGAATATATATTCTTGGCATGTGCAAGACACCCGAAGATTTTAAAGTGATGAACCTCCGGTATTTCAAACCAAGCTTGATATAGTGTACCATCTGCAACTCCTTTTGTTGGTGATCTGTTCAAAATATGCATGGCAATTTTGATAGCTTCTCCCCAAAATTTTGCGGGCATCTCTTTGCTCTTTAATATACATTTGGCCATCTCTACAACCGTTCCATTATGCCTTTCTACTACACCATTTTGTTGTGGTGAAAATGGTGCAGTAAGAAATCTCTTCATGCCTTCATTCTCGCAATAGTCTTTAAAAGCAGTAGATACGAACTCTCCTCCATGGTCCGTTCTAAAGCTCTTAATCTTCTTGTCTTTCTCTACCTCCACACTGATTTTGAACTTTTTAAATACTACTAGTGTTTCATTCTTGTTTTTCAACAAAAACACCCACATAAATCGTGAAAAATCATTCATCAGTAACATGAAATATCTGTTACCTCCATAGGCGAAATAGGTCCACATAGATCTCCATGGATGAGATCCAATGACTCCTTCACACGATATGTAGTTGTTCGCGGAAAAGGAGTCCTATGCTACTTTCCAATTAAACACCCATCACAGAATTGATTGACTTGGGTAATTTTCGGCAATCCTTCAACCATTCTTTTGTCATTTAATTGATTTAAAGAGTGAAAATTCAGGTGTCCATACCCAGCGTGCCAGAGCCAACCATCGTAACTGATATTTGCCATTAAACACACCTGATTCACAAGCTTCAGCTTTGCTTCATACAATCTGTTGGATTGTCTAGTCACCATAATAATCATATATCTTCATCACACTGTCCTCTATGAAAATTTTATTTCCACTCTGGTCCGGTTGTCCCAAACTTATTATAGTGATTTTGAGTTTGGGTATGTAATAGACTTGCGATAACATCAACTGCTCATTGGTTTTTCATTTGAAGAGCACTATTCCTTGACCACAAATGCCTATTACAGAGTTATCACCAAAACGTACCTTTCCAACAACAGATGTGTCAAGCTCACGAAACACCCTCCTTTCTCCTGACACGTGGTTGCTTGCAACAGTATCTAGGTACCAGGAATTTTCAGCTCCAATATTAGTTGGTGGCGGCATTATAGTTTCATTCAGCATCACAAAATCAGGCTATTTGTCACGTGTAGTTTTAATTTCACACGCCTCTATCATCAGCAATGAAGACTTCTCATCCTTATGCTGCATCTCTATCAAGTTGAGTTGTTCGTCTTTTGCGGAACACTCTTATGCGAAGTGTCCCATCTGCTTACACCTGTAGCATTAAATTTTACTTTTGTCTAATTTCTTCTTTTGAGTTTGTGACTGTTTGGCTTTTTGGCCCTTAATCTCAAATTAATTAATTGATGTTTTAATGATAACAAACTTACCTTCAATTATTAACAATTCTCAATTTTGTCCACAGTGTAAGATTGAGAACAACGATTTCAACGTCTTTTTTGGTTCACTCAAATTAGAGCTAAAACGAAGAAGTTTCAGTCAAAACAAGATACTTGACGTGATGATGTGGCGGCAAAATTGACATCATGGACCAATCAAATTCAAAACAAGATACTCGACGTGATGATGTGATGACAAAATTGACATCATGAACCAATCGAAGTATGACATTTATAACTTTCGTAGAGTAACAAATGGTGGAATTTTTCAATTACTTTTAAATTGAAATAAAGTTATTTGAATTATAAAATTATTTCAATTACATTTATAAAACTTTTAAGTTACTTTTAAATTAAAAGAAAATTATTTAAATTATGAAATTATTTCAATTAGATTTATAAAACTTTTCGAACTACTAAGTTATTTTCATTAACATTTTTTATTATATTATTATATTTAAACATATATATATATATATATATAATAAAAATGAATTTAAAATGTTTTTAATATTTATTTAAAATAATATATATATAGTTAAATAAATGAAACATGTGGCCTATAATTATTCAAGATAAATTTAAAAAAAAAATAATAAATAAATATTATTTTTCGTCGTTCAGTTCAAGTTTGAGTGGTCCATATCAATTTTTATTTTTACAACCCTGTCTATTTAAACTCATCACTCTTCATATTTTTCAACACACAGACCATAGAACACAATACACAACTTACAGTTTCCTCAATCTAAACCTTTTTTAAAAGCCTCCATTGTTCTACAAGCTCCCAATTTTATTTCTTGTTTATCTTATTCTTAAGAGGTGTCTATTTATTGTGAAAATTGTAAATCTACTAGTTCAGAGAGTTGTGGTGTATTTCTATAAAATTTCTGACAATTGTACCGGTTTGATCCTGAGCCGTGAAAAGGATTGAGTTTGCTCTTGAACTCGTAAAAAGAGCGGTGTAGCGGTTGGGCTCTAATCCGAGGAAAGAGTCAAGAAACGTTTATTCAAATTCCCAAGAGGTGCTTGGGGAGTGGAGTGGGTCGAGTTTGACCGAACCACTATAAAACTACCCTATATTTTCTAACCCTTTTCCTATTTAAATTCTATATTATTATTAAGTTTTATTGCATGGTATTAAGTTTTATTGTTATTAGAAAATTTAATCATTATATTATTGAAACCCTGTTCACCCCCTAGGGTTGCCATATCGATCCAACAGTGACTCTCCTTCATCTCCTTGATGCCAGTCACTTCTCCCACGGCCTTTCCATCTTCCATGACCCCGTCCCCTACCTCCTCTGGAACTGCCATGATCCTTCCCTTCTTTCTTTGAGGATTTTGCATTCTCTCATCCCTTCCATTCTGCATGAGTGAGGAGAACGGTTTCATCATTTTCTCCAAACCCTTGCAACCTTTCTTCATATGCCTTGAGTGATCCAATAATCTCATCAACAGATTTCGTTTTGAGATCATTAAACTCCTCAATCTTTGAAGTGATTTGAAGAAACTTTGTAGAGGTGAATTGTAGAAGCTTCTTAACTAAGTGGATATCATCCACAAATTGCCGAGGCCTCTTAATTTGTTTACAATAATGGTGAGTTTTCCAGAATACTCATCAATACTTTCTGAATCACCCATCCTCAACGCTTCAAACTCCCGCCAGAGAGTTTGCGTTCTAACTTCTTTCACTCTTTCTGGACCTAGATTCATATTTTTCAACATGATCCAGGCTTCTTTGGTCGTTTTCTTAGCACCCAACTGTAGCAACGTATCTTCTCCAATACTTTGATAAATAGTTGCTAAAGTCATCTTATATTTGCGGTTATCAATTGTTTCGGGTGACTCAATTGCCTCCCAAACACCTTGTGCCATCATAAATACCTCCATCTTAATCGCCCAAGCTGCATAGTTCCATTTTGTCAACATCGGGTATTTGAGTGTGGCAGATCCCTCCTTTTCTTGAATCCATACACTCACTTCGTTTGAGGCATCATCTTCTATCGCACCGGTGTTTTGGCTCCTGTCACTCGATTTCTGTCTCATTTTTTTTTATCTCTCTCCCTTCTTGATCGCTCAGTCTCTAGATGAGACATGATTGAAAACAGGCCTTGATCTTGTAGCTCTGATACCAAATGAAAGATAATAACAGAAGAGGAGAAGGAAAAAAAAAATACAAAAATTAATTTTATCTTCTTTATGTGGTGTTTAATTAATTTGACACCATTTTCCTTATGTAATAATAATTTAAAAAAAAAAAACACATACATTTCTTGCTACAAATCAGCTACCACTCCTCCCACTAGTTCCACTTCCTAAAAGTTAGTTCCCCTCTTCCACTACTTTCACTTTGGCACATATCCCCAGCCTTTTTTTACAGAGAAATAAACAACAAAATAAAAGAAATACTAACACCTATTTTTAACCAAAAACTTATGAAGCAAGAGAAATAAATAAAAAAACAAGTTTATATCCAACACACGTTGTATGTTCTGCAACATGAGAAAATTTATGTAAGTAGAGATGCCGTATTTGAAGAAGAGACAAAGGGGATTGGTGCAGCGTTGGCGATAACAAGCAGGCTGTTACAAAGTTCACTGCTTTGGAAGAAGAGTGAGACACAACAGGCCTAGAAAGTGGCACTAGCAAGTCCACACATGTCATCATCTGTGACATCGAAAAGTGTTGGAATAAATTTAAATGCTGAAGGTTAGTTTTGTCTAAAATAAACTTAATGTTAACTTTAGTAAATTTGTTAAGTTAATTTGAGAAAGTGGGGTGAAAGAAAAAGCCCAGAGTTTTTTCCAGGAGATGATGGTAGGGGTTTACGGGCATTTCTCTCACCCTATTATTAGTGTTAGAAAAGGTATAAATACCTAATCATTTTTCGGTAAAGTCAGAGCAAAAAACGGAGAGCAAAGAAATACAAAGTAATAGAAAAGGTCTTTGATAAAATCAGTGTTCTTTGTCTTCTTATCTCTCCTTTCTCGTCATCTCCTTCACAAGTACGCGAGTAGTACTTTCACAAAGCGATATCGGAGCGTTCTATCATTAGTGTGTGTGAGATTGCTTCACAATTAGTGAGTATTATTTTAACAGAAAGACGTGATGAATTCTCAAGAACAAGAGAGCTAAGGCGAGAGCACAAAAGGATCCCATAGCAAAAGATGAATCACACAAGTTTTGTCCTCTTACTGAAATTTATGCGGATACACTTGAAGAAAAATTGGATCCCGACGAGTTAGTGTTTCTCGTGACCGAGTAGCCGACAACCTACCGTAAGGCAGCAACTGAGACAATGTGGCAAGAGGGCATGCAAAAAGAGCTTGAAGCCATTAAGAAGAATAAGACATGGGCACTAACTAACTCACCGCTTGGAATCAAGCCCATCAGTTTGAAGTGGGTGTTTAAGTTGAAGAAGAATAGTGAAGGAAATGTCATCAAGCATAAAGCAAGACTCGTGGTGAAGGGATATGTGCAACGACAAGGATTTGATTTTGAGGAGGTTTTTGCACCTGTGGCTAGATTGGACACTGTAAGGTTGATTCTTGCTCTTGTAGCTCAACACGAGTAGGAGGTCCATCACTTGAATGATTCTTGTTGATTAAATATCTCAAGTCAAGAACACTTGTTTGAGATTCGAATCACTCCACAAGCAAGATTGATCATGTCAAGCTTGAATGGTTCTACATGCAACCTAAACTAAATAGAATTGCAAAGAAACTTAGCCATTGGCTAAAGGAAAGCAAAAATGTTTCTTTTACCATATTTTCCAAGTCTATTTTACAAAGATAACATACATGGCATTCTATAGCCTCAAAATGAGCTCTTTAACCTTACATGAGGTTTTCCAAGAGTGGTAACTTTCATACTTTATGACCATAATTAACCACTATGTATACTTTCTAGCCATAATTAGTCATTAGGTAAATAAGCCTTAAAATACATTAAAGAAACACCAACTCTAAATTACTCTAAATTATGATCCACCCAAAATTTATAACATTGAAGCTTCATTCTTCTTAAATGTTGCATGAATTGAAATATCTTTTGATAATTTCAACAACACTTTCTTCACATCTTCATTGAAGTATATTGTATGATTGATGTCTCTTGGTTCATATCACCAAGTTTATGACAGCAACTGCGGCATTGTGCAAAGCATTGTGGTTGAGAAATTTGTTGAGCGAAGTGACTAGAAGTGAACTAAAATTGGTAACTTTCTACATCAACAACAAATCTGTGATTGCACTGATAAAGATTCCGGTATTTCATGGACGCAGCAAACACATTGACACTCGCTTCCACTTCATTCGTGAGTGTGTTTTGAAGAGACAAATTCTTGTGGAGTTCATATGCACTAGAGATCAACTTGCAGATATTCTAACTATAGGAGAAGTGGTAGTAGTTACCAAATTGTGAACCAAGTTTTGTGCTTTAATTAGAAAGATTGTTAGTAGTTCTTAACTTGAGAAGAAAGTTTAGGAAGGTAGTTAGTTCTTTCTTCACTATAAATACTAATGATATGTATGCTCATTTCACAAGAGAAACAAAGAGAATTTAAAAGCTAAGTGCTCAAGGTTTTTTTGTTCCAAAACATCTCTCCCCTCACATTGTTCCTTTCCTTCTTTTACTTGTTTTGACATATTGGATCAAGAGTCACATCCAACAAAGTTTTCCTACAATAACAATTTTCAGGTA